GCATATTCAAATGTTATAGTTAGCAGCTGTGGTGGATAAGTTTATATCGCAAAACTAGGCGTTGGGGTGTTCTTTTCGTCACATTAAACGAACTGATTAAACATGCGGAATTGTTATTGAAACGGACATCGATTGCGTTGTGTTTCTTGAGTTGAACAGACGTGAGGTATAATTCAAACTGGTTTATTTGTACTCAACATGAACATCAATAAGTTGTACAGCAAGTACTTCTTGGTATAAAATATAAATCGCTAAATAATAGCTTCATGAGGAGTTGACATCGTAGAGAGCATAGAAAGGAGGGTGTGCTTAACGAGCATCAAGTTGCGAAGCTACCATAGAAGGAATTACAGCGGCAGCCTGATTCGAACTTCTCACAACAGCGCTTTGCCTGGTTATTGTAGTTGTCAACGTTAGAGCGGCATTTGTCTTGGTGACAGCTAATCGGAGAAGTGCCAAACACGTGTTTGTACTCTAGAATATATCATGCCAAAAACGTTCCGAAAATAAAACAACGCTAATGATTGGCGCATACAAACGAAACATAACGCTGTCATTCCATATTAGGAGTGACACACGACTAACATGAGGCAGAACTTTGGTAGGAATTTTGGGCGGTAAACAGACAAGTACCACAAGAACGCAATGGGAAACAATGTAGCGAACGTTTGGATATATTGCGTCACGGTTGCTACAGAAACCGATCTAGTCTCTCAGGGCTCAACTCGTGGTTATCAAAACAATGTCTGAAATTACAAACTAGCTTAGAGAACATCATACAGAAAGTAAAAGTTGTTCATGTTAGATAACTGCGCGCGACATACTCAAAAATCACGAGAAGATCTCGGGATAACCTGAATCGAACATGATAAATTTTAAAATTAACTTGAATAAATCTCTGAAATTTAAATGACAGACTCTCAACAATAAACACATGTCAATCACATTGAACATCAGATATGAATTGTGAATTTCAATCTTAGCTAAAACAGCAAATAACACGGTATATCAAAAACAATACAGTATATCATGAACACATTGCAGATGTTGCTTTACTGCACGAAACAAATGATTCTCATTGAAAACTTGAAATAAAGTTACAGTGCAATACAAAGTTCAAAATTCTACAAAGTTATACAACACCATCACGGCACATTTGCCGTATACTTTCGCTCGCTTTGAGCGCTGAAACCCTTGGTTCGGGCCGACTAGAAAAGTCGTGGATTTGACTAGAAAATTCATTTTCAACGGACGGACTACCAATAACTTCCTCGGGAATTGAGAGTGTATTCTCTGGTGTTTCTGCATTAAGTTCGAGTGGATAAAGATGGTGTATAGAACGATTTGTTGAGCCGTTTTTGGTCTGTATTTCTACTACTCGGACGATACCGTCCTTGCCTGGAAGCAATTTAGTTACACGACCTAGTAATCAATGACATCGTTTTTTGATGTCCTGTGTAATTGGACATATCCCCCACCTTTATACAATAAGAATTATTGGTTGTCCCTTTGATTTGATTCAAGTGACGCTCAGTAAGTGACGTCAAATATTCTCTTTGCCATCTCTTACTAAAAGCATTGTGAAGGGAGGATAAATACATAGCTCTTTTATTTGCAGTAATATTATCAATCTCAAAATTGGGTTCAGAAACACTAGAATAGCTGGGGGTAACATTCTAATCTGACGTCCATTTAACAAATGGGATGGAGTCAGTGGAGCTAAATCTTCGACACTTGCGGAGAGATGAGTTAATGGGTGGTCATTTATTGACGACTCGACTTCGACTAAAATTGTGGATAGTTCGGTAAAGTCACGTTGGCACGACTAGATTTTCTTCAGCAATTTTTGTTATGGCTATCATTCTCTCGAATAGGCCTCCGGCCCACGCCATTCGTTTAGGATTAAAACGCCACGATATACGATTTTTGGTAAGATAGTTTTGTACCTCAGGACTGGACTCGAGTCCTTTCAAAATCTTAGCGGCGGCTATAAATGTGGAACCGTTATCTGAGATCATTTTCCGGGGCGTTGACCGTCGAGCAGTGAAACGTCGCATAGCCAAAATGAATGATGCGGCGGTCAAATCTTGAGTTAATTCTAAGTGAATACATCGAGTTGAGGCGCACGTAAAAATTAGTACATAAACTTTACTAGAAAGACCAGTGTGTTGGTCCCTAACGAACAAATGTCCCGTGTAATCTGTTCCGCAGAATTCGAATGGGACTGCTTCCTTCACTCGAAAATCAGGAAGTGGAGCTTGAGTAGAAAGGGGAAATGGAGTTCCATCGACCTTCTTACAAACGACACAAGATCTCAATGTAGAATTCACATGTCTGCGAATCGCGGTGATCCAATATTTTTCCCGAATTTTGTTAACTGTGGTTAACGGCCCACCGTGGTTTATAAATGATGAGCATCAAGAATTATGAGCGTAGTAACCGATGTTTACCAGGAAGGAGTATTGATGCATGGTTTCGAA